ACTCAATGGTGAGTGAAGAAATTCTGCAAACGAATTTGAAATTTGCTAATAAATGGGTAAATTGTGAAAGAAATCCTGAATCGAGATCTCTGGTGAATTAAACTCAAACGGGAGAAATTTCCCAACCAGCATTAGTCAAGGTTTGTTTTGGTGATATGTGAAACAATATGGTTTAAAAAACAGACTGATAATGATTATTTGGAGTTGTTTGAGTTGTACGCTGATTAAGGAGTTGCGAGAAACTGAATCAGTTGAGCAAACATAAACATCTAAAATGGTGATTATATGAAATTGACTGGAGAGATCAAAAATGGTATACGATATGATATGAAAAACGATTGACAACGTCTTGAACATAATATTTGTATTCACTAAAACATTCTCAAAGTGACTGTACAATTGTCAGTCACATATTCAGGACAGTCATCTCTTATCTTTAAGAAATAATAATAAAGATTATTATTAGTGCTATTAGAAAAAAAGGAAAATGAAAAATAGAACATACCGTTTCACATCCGGCAAATACTCATGCATGCCTCCGAAACCTATTGCGCAGTTATACTCATAAATTTTGTGGTAGATGCGGTTAAGTTCGTCTATTCGATTACGTATTATTCACAAAAAATTACTCAATACCAATCCATACTTGATTTGAATCTCATTGTGTGAATTGTTCAGTGAAGCAACTCACGGACTATTCGCAAAACTCAAACGGATCTGTGAGCTTTGACTACTGATAAGAATTTTGATACCGTTAAGGTCGAATAACTCACAAGAATACATTTTCGAAATCTGATTGAATTTGAATTGCATGATCGATTGAGAAAGATGCGCATGAAAGGGCAAGTGAAAGATGAACATACGCGACGGTACACATTCCAAACTGTAGATCTCGTCGAACTTGTTTTTCGTCCTTTTTTCCAGCCATTTCCCATCAGCACCACACGCAACGGTCAAAGATGAACTTTCTTCTTCGATTATGTTAATAATCAATCCTGGAAGAATAATTCTTTAACAATGATCATCAGCTGAAGACTCTTCGCCAGTTTTGCAGTTCGTCAATTTTGTGTAAATGTCTCATAATGATAGAGTCACACCAAGTATACACATACCCGAATTACATTTAACAAAGTATTTGCATCCAGCCCTGATGTTTGGTTTGCATTTCGATGTTGTCATAACCGATTTGCGGTCATCACTTCTCACATTCGGTTCCTTGCACAAATGATCGCCGCTGTGGTGCTCTGTAACAAGCAGTTAGTTCAGCTGCACATGATGTGACAATTGTATTTCTGGGGAAATTTGAGCACTAGGCGGAGAATGGATGCGGAGGGGACGGTTGAGAGCGAAGGAATGAAATTCTTGAAATCAGTGGAATGTTATCTTGCCATTTCAAAGGCGGCTGTTTAAAAATGCAGTAGACACAAAGAGAGTAGGGCGATTTGATCGCGACTATTGACCGGATGAGTGACAACTAGAAAAAATAAATCAGGACTACTGATATATGAGATGGAAATAATAGAATTCCAGCGATATCCAGCTGATGTGTGCCCGAAATCGCATAAAAATCGCAACGCTCAAAAACCTGGATGAACAGATGGTGTTGACGGAACGCACTCAACCGAGTTTATATCCCTAATGATCAAGTTCGTACGTTTTTCACGCCATTCACCGTCGCCATAGCAAACGACGCTTATGCGATCGGTCTTCATTTGCATGGCATTTATTTGCCAACCTGAAATCGTGCGCTGATATTTCAACGCGAATTCACAATAAGAAGATGCAAAATTCTCGTACACTTCACACAAACGGCTTCAAATCATCAATTCACACACATACCTTGAAGACATCTCATATCATACTGACAACCGGTTGGTTGCAGCTCTTTGCCTGTACATCGTCGACGTTTCTTGACCAGTTTATGCGAATCACTCTTCCAGAGTATCTTCTCGCATTCCTCCGCGTCATTCTCCTTATTCACTGGAAACTTTTTCACATTTAAAAATCGGTCCGATTCCAGCATAGTTTTTTGTTTGTTAATAATTCAGACTGATTTGAAACATGCGATAGGAGAACATTCGGGTTCAGCGTAACACGATCAAG